GGACGTGGTCAGCGGCAAGGCCGTGGCCGACGAGCAGACGGGCGCGCTGTACGAGGCGTCGGAACCGCTGAAGGCGCTGCGCGACGCGTGGCGCGAGCTGCAGGACCGCGTCGGCGACACGGTGCTCGAGCGCGGCATCCTGCTGCCGCACCCGCAGAACGACTACGAGGTGCTCGAGGAGCGGCTGCTGGACGCGCTGGAGCTGCCCGTGCGCCGCCGCGCCCGCATCCTCGAGTGCGGCCACTACCTGGGGCCGGCCAACGAGATGCTGGCCGACGATGACGAGGACAGTGAAGACGAGGGGACAGAATCCCGCCGCCACTGGTGCGCGACGTGCCGCGGCGACATCCAATTCCAGAACCTCGGCGCGGCCGCCCGCGTGTTCCGCGTCAAGGTGTACGCGAGCAACGGGCTGATGAAGGCGGGCGCGTGGGAGGCGTGCTGGCGCGAGATGGAGCGCGTCGACGCCGAGGTCGAGCCCGTGGTCGACGTGGTTCTGCAGGGCGAGCTCGAGCGCCTCGCCACGCTGCAGCTCGAGCACGACGACCGCCTGCGCCGCCAGCGCGAGCGCGAGCGCGAGGTTGAGACGGCGGCCGCTGCTGCTGCCGCTGCGGCTGATGCCCAGCTGCTGCACGAGGCTGAACTCGCTGCCGCAGAGGCTCAGGCTCAGGCCCAGGCTCAGGCCGAGGCTGAACTCGCCGCTGCACAGGCCGAGGCACAGGCACAAGCACAAGCACAAGCTGGGGCGACAAGGGAACAACATACGCCCGATGTCACCGACCGCAGCTTCAGCGTTGACATAGATCCGGTGGTGGAGCTGCCGCGGCTGCTGCCCGACAGCCGGGCGGTGGTGATGGCATCGCCGGCGGCCCACGCCCACGCCCACGCATCACCGCCCCTCCCGAACTCGGTGCTGCGCGTGCGGTCGCCACCCAGCGGCAGCAGCTCACCACCGACACCGACGCTGCGGCTTAGCCGGCGGCGGCGCGAGCGCGACGGGCGGTCGTCACGCTCCTCGGCGCGCTCAGCCGCCCAGGAGCCCATCGACACCTCCGACGAGCGCAAGCGCCGCGACGCCGAGCGGCTGCGCGAGATTTACGGGGAAGTGGCGCCGCCTGATTCGGTGCTGCAGAGTGCGGATGTGGGCGTGGACATGGTAGTCCCGGCTGCGCCGTCGCCGTCGCTGTCGGAGAGCACCATCCGCCCGTCGGTATCGCATGTAATTCCGCCGTCGCCGTCGCAGGACGCGCACGCCCGCCGTGAGGAACTCCGTTCACGGTCTGCGTCTGCGTCTGTGTCTGCGCAACAGCAGCAACAACAACAACAACAACAGCACCAACAGCACCAACAGCACCAGCAGCAGCCACAACAACAGCACCAGCAGCAACACCACCCTCAACAAGACCAGCACCAGCACCACCAACAACACCACCAACAACACAACCCCCAACACCCATCCCCAGGCAGTTACAGGAGTAACCTCGACAACGCATCCTTCGCCGAACTACTCCTCGAGGCCTTCAAAGTCCTGCTGCGCGACCCCAAGAACGTGGCCATCATCGTGCTGTGCGTGTTCCTGTGGGGCTTCATGGCGCGGCCGGCGCCGGTGCCGGTGCCGTTGCCTGCGGTCGTGCCGGGGTTTGCTGTCGACGCTGTGCCGTATGCGTACCGTGCTGCTGTCGACGGGGTGAAGCAGCAGCCCGGCCATGTTTCTGCTGCTGTTTCTCATGTGCAGGGGCAGGGGCAGGGGCAGGGGCAGGGGCAGACGCGTGACGATGTCGTGGCTGCTGTTGTGGTTGAGGCCGTGGCGGGGCTGGGTGTGCCGTCTGCGGCTGGTTTGGACAGCGGTGTTGCTGTGCGGGATGTTGTCGGTGTGGATGGGGATGTGCTTGCAGTGGGCGCCTCGGCGCCGGCTGCAATGGACGTCGAGGTTGGTCCCGTCGTGCATGTCGCTGTCGCTGAGGCTGACGCGGCTGCTTTCGTCGTGGAGAGTCCTGCGTCTGAAGCAGGGATTGCAGACCCCCAGATCGCCGAGGCTCGTCCCGCGGTTGACCATGTCTCGGACGCTCACGACGGAGAGCAGCCAGACGCCGTCTACGAAGAGATTGAGTCGGTCCCGACCGTCGAGCCAGCAGACCTCGCCTCGCCGTCCACCACTCCAGACACGAGCAGCAACATGCCAGGCGACAGCGACGTTCCGCAGCGCAAAACCGTGCGCGTGCTCGAGACCGTCACCGAAACCGTGCGCGTGCAGCTGGCCACCGCGGGCGGTGCGGCCGAGACATGGATAGAGACAGCGTCGACCTCGGCCGCCGTGAAGACGGCCGTGCCCGCTCTAGACGGGGTGTACGACGAGGCGGCAGAGACAATCACCATGACTGTGTCCGTGTCGGTGGCTGCGGTGTTTTGAGGGAGTCTCTCACAGGCCATGTCGGCATGAGTATCTGTCAACATATGTGTGTGGCGTGATGAACGCCTTGAGAATTGATGTTTACGACGAACCGGATCGGTCGGTCGGTCGATGACGGATGCATGGATGAAATTTGGATTTGGGTCAAGCATATGAGGATTCTTGAGCGAGCGAGCCATCGAGTATGGTTGGTTGCAAGGATTTGTTTATTGTCTCTAGTTTGTACGGCTTCATTTCCTGTCTTTGAGCAACACCTACCTATCGTAATTACACTGAGCGACTCGGATCCAAGTTGGTACATAAATAGCAGTCGAATTCTTTATCTAATCATGGTCGTTCCCAGCGTGCAATCGTTACACCTGCCATGGTCGTGTTGTGGTGTTGTCGTTATCGTTGTCGTTGTCGTTGTAGTTGTCGCGGTCATCGTTGTCGTACCGTCGTTGCTGATGCTCTCGCTGCTCTTGCTTTCCTTCTCAACAAAGAGCGGACAAATGTGCTACCAAGAGCTCTTGAGAAGATCAGGACGAGGATGAGGGGCTGCATGTGACAATGGCTGAGCTCCCCGGACCTGTGGCTGCCGCCGTTTGACTGCATGGCAGGGCTGCATGAAGCTTGGCACTCGACAGCCAATGGGGATGTGTAGCCCCCTGTTAAGGGTCTAGTCGCCATCCCACGGCCCCTCAGCGACCTCGGTTGCCCGGTAACTGGCTCGTGCCTGGTGCCTGGTGCCTGGCTGGTCGCTGTTCCAGGCCTGGTTCCATGAGCGACTGTGGCTTTCCGTCGTCATGTGTCGCCAGCTTGGTACTCTGCCCGTCTCAGCCTCCGTACTCCGGACCTCTCTGCCTCTGCGGCCTGTGCCTCTGGCGCTGTGCCTCCGCCGCTGTGCGTCTGCCGCCGGCGTCTTTGCCTCTGTACCCCTGTACCTCTCAACCTCCATACCCCTCCACCTCAGCTCTACCACTCAAGAACCTCCCAATCCCTCAACCTCTGTACCTCCCTGCCTCTATATCGCTCTACCCCTACCTCACCCCTACCTCTTACCTCTTACCGTTCGGCCTCTACGTGACTCAATCTCGGCCACGACTCGACCTCGACCTCACCTCTACGCCGGGATAGCCTACAGCTACAGCTTATACAAGTACCCTTGCCCAGACCTCCACGTAACAGGTGTTGTCTGCTGGTGCAGCGGTAGCTTACGACAGCTTCGACATCCCTCGCCCTCCTCCCGAAGCACGCATGGTTAGCACATCCTCCAAACCGGCCGGCCGCGCCAAGTACCAGTCGAGATGGGCCCAAGTGAAGGACCCGCTCCTCGATGTGCTTCAGCGCATGTACTGGGACGGGGTGGCGCGCGAGATGGCCTCGGCACTCGTGGCCTTTGCCAAAATATGCCAGCTCCATCCCGAGAGCCTGCTAGAGGAGATAGTGTCCACCCGCGAGCTCGTGTCGGCGCGGCTGCCCAAGCTGCAGAGTCTATGGGACCCGCCCATCGGCAGGGAGATTCAGGAGAGCGGCAACATTAGGTACGGACTCTCGACCATACGACGGAGCCGGGCCGGCGTCGAGAACCTCGGCGTGTTTGAGCGCGACGCCCCCAACCTGACCCGCCGCGTGGCCCGCGCCATGCGCATCAACGCGCGCGAGAAGCGGGCGCGCTGCTGAAGGCGACAGGCCTGCTGGACGTCGACATCGCTAGCGAATACCGCGGCCCGTCTTGTCGTGCATGGCGCCGCCGACGCAGTTCGACGCCCTGCCGCTGCTGATCGAGAACGACGCAAGCGCGGGCGCGCTTATCTCGCTGCGCAGCCCGCCGGTGCTCGGCGTCGACACGGCGCCCGAGATGGACCGCTACCTAGCGCGCGACGACGACTTGGAAAAGGTCAAGCATGGGGTCGTCGTCACCTCAGTCGAGTACAAGCTAGCCGAGGACAGGACGCTGTTCACGCGGCGGCGCCGGCTGGTGCGGTGCGAGAAGCAGATCGCCGGCCAGCTGTTCACGGGCCACGACGGCACGTGCGTCAAGGAGGAGGACGACATTGTGCGCTGCTTCCTGGCGCGCGCCGACGACTGGCGAGCCGTTACAAAGTCCCGCTGCCTCACCGAGGAGCAGCGCCTCGAGAAACTGCACGCGTTTGCCGCCGAGATCCGCGACATGATCAGAGCCGGCTTCGAGCACCGCTTCGACAACTACCTCGGCACGTTTGCGCGGCGGCTGTCCAACAAGGCCATCAAGCTCAAAGCCCAGCATGTAAGAAGTCGTTCCTCAACTGTTGGGTAAACCCTAACCCTAGTCGTACTCTACAAGCATTCGCCAGAAACGACAACAGGAAAGAGCGCATCGGCCTCAACTGAAGCCAGAAGGAACGAGAACAGGAAAGAGTGATCCGCATCGGTCAACCCAAGCAGCCGAAACGACAACAGGAAAGAGTGCATCGGTTGTGCAACGCAAACTCAAAGTAAATATGCAACAGCCGAGCTGACATCCACACGCAACTCCACACCAACACCTCGGCAACCCGCCCTCGGCAGCTAATAAGGCTACGTAGGTGGGCCAGTCTCCATCAAATCCTGACAGCCGCTCAGGACAGCAGGGGTAATAGTATAGTGGTCAGTATTTCTCGTTGTGGCTTGGTATCTCTTCCGAGACACCTTCACAAGATCCGAGAGGACCCAGGTTCGATTCCTGGTTATCCCAACCATCTACCTCACAACACACATTACCACACACATCAGTGGCTTTGTGTTGCTTCTCTTTTTTCCATTTCTTTTTCGGTCTGGAGTCTTCAGTTTAGGGTTACAGACCTAGACCCGTTTAAAAAAAGACAAACAGGGTTTCTTGTAGCTCTCCACCGCAGTGGATGTCATCAGCAAACAGCAGAAAGGGGTAATAGTATAGTGGTCAGTATTTCTCGTTGTGGTTTCAGTCTCTTGCAAGAGAGACGCCTCGCAATATCCGAGAGGACCCAGGTTCGATTCCTGGTTATCCCAGAACCAGCCCAAGCATTCATTTTGCAGGGCGTCCCCATTTGATGGAGTCGTGATTTCTTTTTTTCCTCCCTTTTTATTCTTTTTATTTCTCGTCCGCTTCTCTTCACTTCCTTGGCATCCTTTTATCCCTCTCAAGGCTCATCTTCTTCGCTTCCTTGTTCTTTTCCACTCTCTACAAGGCTCTTCGACATGTTGATTTCAGGGCGTCCTGTCAACACACAGAGACACAGACACAGGCACATCAGACGCAGGCACGGGTATCAAGCATCTATTACTTTTATCTATCGCATCACACGCATCACAGGCCCCCCGCACCCTCCGTCACGCCGTTGCCCGCGGGCTTGGCCGACGCGAGCGTCTGCTGCAGCGGCGGCAGCAGGCTCTTGGCCGTGTGGCGGGCCTGCTGGGCGAGCACGGCGTCCATGACGACCAGCGCGGCCATGGCCTCGACGATGGGGATGGCGCGCGGCACTACGCACGGGTCGTGGCGGCCCTTAGCGGCGAGGATCCCCTCGGCCGACCCGTCGTACGTGGCCGTGGTCTGCTCCTGGCCGATCGTGGCCGCCGGCTTGAAGGCCACGCGGAAGTAGATGGGCGCGCCGTTGGAGATGCCGCCCTGGATGCCGCCCGAGAAGTTGGTCTTGGTCGTCAACTTGGGCCGCGGGTGCCCGGTGCGCGCAGCGCCGCTCTCGGCCACGCCCGACGGCAGCTCGGCCGTGGCCGACACGAACGGGTCGTTGTGCGTCGACCCCGGCACCTCGCACCCCGCGAAGCCCGAGCCGATCTCGAAGCCCTTGGTGGCGGGGATGCTTAGCATGGCGTGCGCTAGCATGGCCTCGAGCTTGTCGAAGCACGGCTCGCCCAGGCCGCTCGGGGCGTTGCGGATGACGCACGTCACGGTGCCGCCGATGCTGTCGTTGCGCTCCTTGAAGTCGGAGATGTACTCGACCATCTTGGCGGAGGCGGCCGCGTCGGGGCAGCGCACCGGCAGGAAGCTGTCGACCGTCTTGCGGTCGATGGACTCGACCAGGGCCAGGAAGGCGGGGTTCGTGCTCGGGCTCGGGTGCTCGGCGGTGGGCGGGAACAGGTGGACGGCGCCGACCGAGGTGGTGAAGGCGACAATCTCGACACCGTAGGCCAGGCGCAGGTACTTTTCGGCGATGGCGCCGGCGGCCACGCGGCCAATCGTCTCGCGCGCGCTGCTGCGACCGCCGCCGCTGCTGGCCTTGACGCCGTACTTTTCGAGGTAGGTCCAGTCGGCGTGGCTGGGGCGGGGGAACCTGTCCATGGTCGAGTTTCCGTAGTCTGCTCGCCCAGTCACCCGTCAGCCATGTCTTTGGGGGCACATCAGATAGCAGACGCACCCTTGGGGCGCTGGTCTTCGTTGAGGACCATCATGCCGATGGGGGTGCCCAGCGTGACGCCAAACTCGGTGCCCGACTGGATCAGCACGCGGTCCTTTTCGTTGCGGGGCGTGGTGATGTTGCTCTGGCCGGGGCGGCGGCGCGTCATCTGCGGCTGGATGTCGTCCTCGGTGAGCTCCATGCCGGGCGGGCAGCCGTCGACGATGCAGCCGACGGAGCGGCAGTGCGACTCGCCATAGCTGCCGTTGTGTCAGTTGTCAGTCTTGGCCTGGGACTTGCAATCACGAGGGAGCGTACGTGGTGACCCGGAAGTAGTCCCCAAAAGTCGACATTGCGTGGTGGTTGTTCGGATTGATGTTGAGTCAGAGACGACAATGTGGCATGATCGGTCGTAAATTTTAGTGAGCAATTGAATTGAGCCCCTCCAAGCCCGCCGCCGTCATCGGCACCACCCACCCCGCGAAACGGCAGGGCAGCGGCGGTGAGTCCACTAACTCCACTACCGGACCCCTGTCCACGCTAACGCAGAGCTGGGAGCGAACCTACTATAGTACACTGCGAATGGAACCTTGACAGATCCGACCAATGCAGGCTCAACTGCAACCTCAATTCACGTCTGCAGCTGCGGCGTCGAGGTTGTCCTGGTCGGGATGAAGGCTACTCGGTAAAGACACAACCACCAGCACTCTAGGCTAGATGCATGCACGTGAACCATGTCGCTCATAACACAGTGCAAGCCGCGGGCATTAAGAGTCTGCAGCTGGGCTCCTCGGCTTCACCTTCACCTTCACTTTAACCTCGCGCCAAGCTCTGTCTCAGCAACTCGCCGGCGCATCTCGACCAACCACGATCGGGACGCACTGCTAGCACGGCCAGTGCAAGTATACCGGTCGACCTCATCCGACCCGTACGTCAACCTGTCGATCGAGCACTTCCTGCTGCAGCGCACGCACGCCGCAGCGACGGTACTCTTCCAGTACGTGAACCGGCCGTGCGTCGTCGTCGGCCGCAACCAGAACCCGTGGCTGGAGGCGAACCTGCAGCAGGTGCGGCGGGGCCTTGGCCCCGATGAACCCGTGCCGGTGGACCTCGTGCGGCGGCGGTCGGGCGGCGGCGCCGTGTTCCACGACGCCGGCAACGTCAACTGGGCCGTCGTGTGCCCAGCCGCCGCCTTCGACCGCGACCGCCACGCCGAGATGGTCGTGCGCGCGCTGCAGGCGCTCTCCCCCGGCACCGGCACCCCGCGCGTCAACGCGCGCCACGATATAGTCCTCGACACCCCCGGGAGCGGCGGCGGCTCGTTCAAGATCTCGGGCTCCGCGTACAAGCTGACGCGGCTGCGCGCGCTGCACCACGGCACGTGCCTGCTGGCGTCGCCGCACCTGGGCGCCATCTCGGCGCTGCTGCGGTCGCCGGCGGCGCCGTTCGTCAAGGCGCGCGGCGTCGAGAGCGTGCGGTCGCCCGTGCGCAACGCCGGCGCCGACCCCGCCGCTTTCATGGCGGCTGTGGCGGCTGAGTTCCGCCGCATGTATGGCGGTACGGGGGACGCGGGGGACGAGGTCGTGGTTGGCGCGGACGCGCTGGACACGGTGCCTGAGATCAGGGAGGGCGTTGCTGAGCTGATGGCGAGTTGCCCTTCATTCCATTCCATCTTACTCTCGTCTATAACAAATCGTAAACATCAACTGACAAGAACCAGTCCCCGGAATGGATCTACGATCAGACGCCGCAGTTCACCTTCTCGTCCCACCCGACCGACGACGACCCGCGCCCGCGGCCCGCGCTGCCCTCTAACCTGCCGCCGAGTGTAAGACCCCTTCTCCCTCTCTATTCTTCATCAGTCCTAACACGCACCGTGCAGCTGCGTATTCACCTGACGGTGCGGCACGGCGAGATCCAGACAGCCGCCGTGTCCGGGCTGCGGTACATAACCCTGTCCAGCGCAGACGAGTCGACAGCACACGACGCCGCGCTGAGCACATCGCTGGCCGGGCAGCGGCTGCACGACATCGGTGACTGGCGCGCGGTGCTGGAGAGGGCGGCGCCGGTGAGCGCGGCAGACCGGCTGCACGTGGGCGGGTGGCTCAACGGCATGTTTGGGCTCGAGACGAGTGCGTAGCCTCCAAACCTCAAGTACGACATGTGAAAGCCTGTAGATTACACCTGCAAATTTTGTATGTATGTAACAACACCATGTATTAATATTACCGCATGATTTCTCTTGAGTTTGATGTACGTGTAGCGTTTCCCTTGTTGCAGTTGCCTTTGCTGTGTTTCTGCTACTTTTGATACGTGGTACGATGTGGCGTGAGATGGAATGTTCCTAGCAGTCCTTGAAAACACAACAAACACGACCATGAAACGCATGCACAGGCTGAATCGTCTCTTCATTCACTTTTCATTCACCACGCTATATAAACATCACTTGCAAACACACACCCCCACGGCAGCTACTCCAGACTCGGCGCCGTCATGACACCCCGGCCAAACCACTCGGCGACGGTCCTAAACTTGTCCTCGCTGCGGTCGAGATCGTCACGGAACAGCTCGTGGCGCTCGGCGTTCTCGTCCTGGCTCTTCTTGAGCGCGCGGATCGTCGCATTGTCCCTCTCACAAAGCGGGCACTCGCCGTCGACGCCGGTGCCGCCGCGCAGGCAGCGCTGGTGGAACGAGTGCTTGCACAGGAAGTGCACGGCGGGCAGCTCGAGCGGCAGCGCGCACTGGTGGCAGCGCGTGGCCTGGAACACGGCCGGCTTGCTGCCGAGGTCGGCGATCTCGGCGCGGCGCTGGTCCGTCTCGGCGCGGAAGGCCGCCACGTCGCGCCGGTTCTCGGCAATGTCGCGCCGCTCGCGCTCGATGCGCCGCGCCAGGTACGGCTTGATCATGCCCATGGTGGCCACGGCGTTCTGGCTCAGCGCTTGCACCACTTGCAGCGGCGCCATCAGCCCGTCGCGGTCGATGCGGTCGAGGATGCCCGCGAGCTCGTCAGGCCCCGCCTCGTCCAGCACGCGCGCGTCCGACGTCAGGTACGACAGCGCCGCCGGGTATAGCTGCGGCGCCTCGGGCCCGTACTTGCGCAGCGCCTTGATGGCCCCGCGCGTGTCCTTGGCCGACGTGTACGACCGGAAGATGTCGAACAGCAGCCCCGACTGCTCCTTGACGAGCGTCGTGCCGTCGCGGAAGTCGGACAGGTGCGACAGCAGCAGCACGTTGGAGTTCTCGATTGACCGCTTCTCGTGGCCCGTGCCTTCGATGAGCGCCTTTGCTTTCTGCTCCCACTCCTCACGGTGCTGCGCCCCCTTCTTCTCGTTAGACTTGTGCAGGTACATCTCGAAGAGGGTCGTGTACACGTCGGTCTTGTCAGCCTCTGAAAGCGTGTCTTCCTTCGCGAGGGCTTCCAGAAAGACGATGAACTCGTCGGGGTGGTCGATGAACGATGAGAACGCCGTGCGCGGGCGGGGCGGCGTGTAGCTGGGCACCGGCACATCCTCTGGCTTGAGGACAAAGGCGGTCTCGCCGACAGCTGTCAGCTTGGCGCTCTGCGGCGCGGCCGGCGCTATCGCCGACGTGTTCATGTACGGCAGCGGCAGCAGATTGCTGAGGTTCTGGACCGCATTTGCAGCGCCGGCCGCAAAC